GTGGTCAACGAGTGGCAGCCTAAGCTCACGCAGATTGATCGGGTCTTCGTTTCGCTTCCGAGTTGGCAGGTGCTTCCACATCACATATGTGCGGTCGCCCCTGAGTGCCCCGAGCTGATGCATGAGAGGGGGCTAAGTGACCATGTTCCTGTCATCATGAGTATCGAAGTACGCAGTGAGGCAGCGGCGTCGGAGCAGAGGATACCCATGCATTTCTTCAAGGATCCCGAGTTCAAACGTCAGTGCGACCGCCTCCGACCCCTGGTGGACTGGACTTGCCTGTCGGCACGGGGTAGGCGCAATAGGCACAAGGAGCTGATGTGTGAGGCCGCCAAATTTGTGCGCAACTTGCGGCTGCAGCGCCCGCTAGGCGAGACTAAGCTGATGGTATTTCGTTCGATGTCAAGGGCGGTCTGGCACGATGGCGTGGGTCTCGGACGCCGGCTACTTCAATCCTGTGAGCTTGCCCGCACTTATTTCAATGTGACGGAGGTAACTCTAATTCATCCCCCGTCTTTCGCCAGGGACTTCGCCCAGGAGCAGCAGGTGCACTTCGAGGCGCGGTCGGCAGCGCTCGACGAGAGGGAGAAGAAGGCCTCCGACAGCACCTCGTTCAAGGCAGTCAATGCCATCCGCAGGAAGCTCAATCGTCGGGCGGCCCTGTGGGCCCCCTTCGGTCGCTCGCTTAAGCTGCAGGGTATCAACGTGCCCGCGGAGGGTGGCGGTGTCCAGGTTCTCCACGGCCAGGAGGACATGATGGGGGCGCTCCGTGATCATTGGGCCCCCATCTTCCAGGCCAAGACGCAGGTCGACGGGCGGGAGAGCCTGGCCGAGCGCTACATGAAGGAGCGCGCCCCGAAGCTGGCGGTGGCGAACACCATGCCGCCTGACATGCGATCTCTGATGCGGGCTGCGGCGAGGGCCAAGGAGTCTGCGCCAGGCCCAGACGGGCTGCCATACCTGGCATGGCGGTCGCGCCCCGCGGCAGTGGCTTCCATCGAGGACGTGGTGCTCGACATCGCAGCGGGTCTACCGCCGCCAGTCGACTGGAACGATCACCTGCTGGCCTTCCTACCCAAGGGGTCCTTCGAGGAGGACCTCGCTGACGGACTTTCTCGGTCTCCCGGGTCAACTCGGGCAATCGCTCTCAAGAATTCAGATTGCAAGCTGGTTGCTGCGGCGACCAATTTCAACATCAAAGGCGCGGTGGAATGCGCTTCGCCTGCCCCACAACGAGGATTTCTACGGGGGCGGAACTTTCTGGGCAACATCACGCTCTTGGACACGACTGCCCGCGTCGCGGGCTATCAGGGTGATGTGTCCCCCCTCAAGCCCTTGGTGGCGCTGTGCGACTTCGGCGACGCTTTCCCGTCGATGATGGTCGAGCGGCTCTTCGCGATGCTGGTCTTCTCGGTCTTCGAGGGGGGCCTGCTCCTCACTCTCACTTCACTGTGCTGGCTGCCCACGGCGCACGTCCAGATGGCGGGCCTGATGGTGCATTTTGCTTGCATCACTTGCGGGCTGGCTCAAGGCTGCCCGTCGTCAGGCTCGCTGTGGGCCATCATCATGAATCCGTTTATTCACCAAATGCAGCGGTACGCGGACAGGAGCTCGTATTCGGCCCTGGGCGTGTGCGCGGATGACGCAGGCGCTTTGGAGGGCGTTCGAGGCGGCCCGTGCGTTGGCGGGGCTGCGCTTGAAGCTGACCAAGTGTGTGCTCATTCCTTTGGGCGGCCCCGTGACGGAGGAGTCCAAGCTGGAGCTCGCGCTGTGGCTGAAGACCTGGATCCCGAGCTGGGCTGCCATGTCGGTTCGGGGCTTCGCCGAGTATCTTGGGTACGTGATCGGGCCAGAAGCGCCGGGGCAGGACATCTGGAGGAAGGCGGCCGCGAAGTGGCATGCTCGCGTCATCGATCTGACCCGGTGCGGGGCTCATGCGTCGCTGGCGGCCAAGCTCTACAACCAGAGGATCCTCCCTGTGCTGGGCTACCTCCAGCAGGTCGCGCGGGCGCCCAAGGAGCTGCTGGATCGTGAGGCGTGGGCTATCACGAAGAACTGGCACATGCCGCCGCAGAGTATGGCCAGGGACGATCTACTCAGTCTGGGGCAGTGGGCGCCTTCGCTGAGGGTCAGGTCCATGCAGGCCACAGGACTCGCGTCCCTCATGAGAGCTGCGACGGCCGCGATCACCAACTGGCAGAGCCTTCACACATGGCTCCAGGAGCAGACGGTGAACCACGGCCCCCTCCTGGCGATCGGCCAGGCGCAGTGCGCGCCCGTCCGCTGGAAGACACAGCCAGTGGTCGTGGGCCTGGCGGCGGCCACCGAGGGCTTCGCGAGTGAGACCTCGCTCGCACGCCATGCCGCCCAGGCGTGGCGCGCCCTGGAGGAGGAGCGCGCCGCTGCCGAGCAGAGGGCGGCACGCGTGCGGGTCCAGAACTATTTCTCGTTCCCTTCACTCTTCCCTTTTCCCCGATGTCCTCCCCGTTGTGCTGGCGCGGCGTCAGAAATCGTGGGGCCTCAGTGCTGTTCGCCACTCTTGGCCTCCTCTCCGTGGGATCCTCGAGCAGGTCGGCCCTGCATGGCAGAGTGCAGTGTTGATGGCGATAGTGGGGGCGTGGCTAACAACGGCCAGGCTCCACGCGGCGGGCGGAGTACAGGCGTGTAAATTTCGTTGTCGAGAGCCCCCGCTGATTCCAGCCCCAGATACTTTCGCTCACTATCTCCAGTATGAAGTTTTGTGGGGTCTGGCCTATCCAAGGGACCGTGACCCCCCGACTTGTATACTGGCCAGGATCGGGCCCAATGGAGCCCCGACTCTCGAGGCCGTGGAGGCCATAGTCATGGCGTTCCACATGTGCAACACTGCACGTGTCTCGCATCCGCCGTCGCTCCAGCAAGAGGAGTGGGCTGGTCATCTATACGAAATTCGACGAGCAGCAGTGGCTCTCGTGGAGTTGACTAGAGTGCCCGCGTAGGCCTCGGAAGGACTCTTGTGGCGCCCCTCAGGTACGAGCGATATATGTATATTTGTTTATTGTGTGTGAGTGTGTCGCGGAGTTTTGTGACCGACGTCAGAAGCAACAAGTGGGCAACCCATGTTTATCGAACGCGCATGCGGCGAACCATCACCGTCGACCAAACGTTGGGCCAACATCTGGTCAAGCTAATGTACTTCGTGCGCCCCCCAGCTGTTGTGGAAGCATTTGGGAATTAGTTCGGGAATGAAATGGGGGGGGAGGACGAGAGGGAAAAGGAGGACGAGGGCGGCTCTTGGCCAGTCCCACGCCTTTGGAGACCGTCTTTGGGGCCTCTTTGGGCCGAGTTGGCCGATGTTTGTTGTGCTTTACGGCCTATTCGGATGTCTGCTGCGCCGTGTTTCCAAACTTTTTTCGGCCATCTTGGAACCCTCTTTACAAATGTTGGGACCCTCTTGGGGGCTTCTTGGGCTGTCTGGGGGTCATCTTTGTGGCCTCTGGGTCTGCCTTGGGCAGTGGGACGCCCGAAACGGCGAGAACGAGAAGTCCTTCCAGAATCCACAGGGACGTCAACTAGTTTTTACGTAGTCTGGCCTTCGTGGAGGGTTCTTTTGGAACTCCCTTGGGCCGTATCGTGAGCCTTTTCGGCCTTCTAGTGGCCATCCGGGACCGTCTTGGAGCCATCTTGGGTTCTATTTTGACCATCTTGGGGCCACATTGCGCCATCTCGGCCGTTTTGGTGGCGTCTGGTGACCGTCTTGACCGCCATCCTGGGCCATCTTGGTCATCTTGGAGCCATCGTGGGGTCTTGGACGGAAAAACACACGGGGGTATAGTCCGGCCGGGTCCGCCTGGGTGACCGGCGGGTTGGGCCGAAGGCCAGAGGAATTTGGCTGGAATTGCCCATAAACATTTACAATTCTGTCGCGCAAAGCATCATTCTGGCAGGCTGCGGGGGCGGCGGGTCTAGTGACGTTCGGGCACCGTGTCCGGGTCTAGGTCCTGAGACCTTGGGAGGCCTATTGAGCCTCTTGGGGGCCTCTGGGGAGCCTCTCGAGGCCTCCTGGGGTCCTCCAGGGGGGCTTTGGGGGCCTCTGCGGGGCGTCGTGGGGTCCTGCTGGTGCTCTCGGAGGCCATCTTGGGTGGAGGGTTCAAAAACACTTTCGAATTCCCAATTTTTAACCCCGCCCCTTTTGGGTGCTCGGGGGCCGTCTTGGGGCGATCTGGGGGCCTCTTAGGCCGTCTGGGATAACTCTACCGACAGAACGCTGGAGAGTGCTAGTATGCACACATTCATTTTGGTTCGATGCTGTTGGCTTTTGAGGCCAACCCCGAGTCTAAGGTACTCCCAAGAAGGGGCCCTAAGATAGGCCACTGGGGTCATAGTACAGCGCGTTGGGGGTCTGAAGTCCAGTCACTCTTTAGAAGGCCTCGGGAAGGTGACGCGCCACACCCGAGAAACGCACGAGACCACCGTCTGCGGCCCACCACGAGAATTCTGCAGTACCGTCGATGCAGTGTGCGTATAGCTATGTATGTATGGGTATATGTATGTATGTGCATGCGTGTCTGTCTGTATACATGCACGTACGCATGGGTATGTATGTCTGTTTGTCTGTCTGTAACTATCTGCCTGCCTGTCTATCTGGATGTGCGTATGTATCGGTGAACTTCAATATGCAAAGTGAAATGCAGGATTCTCGAGGACCTGATCGTTCTCCACTCTGCATCTGCTGCACGGTGGCGGATCTCTAGCTCCCGGGAGGGCCCGGCTTCACCTGTAGGCATGCCCTGGCGATGTGCCAGGACACGCCTTTTGGCCTGTTCCTACCCGCTGCGTTACATTCCCCCTCTCTCCCCCCCCACCTCTCCCCACTCCCTCTCCCCACTCCCTTTCCCGCTTTACCTCCCTGTCCTCCATGGTCTCCTGTTGCTGGCTGTTGCCTCCACGCCCCCCCCCCCCCCCCCCGAACACAAGAGGCCCCATGCTCCGGCGCGCCTTGAGACAGCTCCGGCAGCCAGGTGGGCCTCTTCTCGCTGACCTCGGCCATAATGTTTATTTTCTCCATCAAGGGCCTTGGTCACCCGTCTGGGAGCTGCTGCTGCCGCCGCTTTGCCGCATGCTCCTGGGTATGTCGTTGGATGAGCCCGTGGCGTCAGCAGGCGTCAGCGGCGTGCTACACCCTCGGGCAGTGCAGCGCCTGAAGCCCCACTCCCTCCCTCCCTCCCCCCCCTCCCCTCCCCCTCTGCCCAGGGCCGTCCCCTGCCGCTGCAGCCCCGTCGCGCCCGCTTCCCCCCGCTCGCGCTGTGGCCGCTTTTCCGACTGGCCGCTCCCTCTGGCCGGTGGGCTTCTGGCCTCCTCCTAGCCGGAGGTCGTGAGCGATGGACACGTCCATGTCTTTGCGCCACCCCAACATCTTGATTCTGCGTTTGCGTCGCCCCCAAATGGGCGACGCGCTCGCCGAGGAATCTTATAGTAAACTCCGTGGCGGGCGCTTTCTGGCCATACCGCTCGGGAAACGATGCACTACAACATGTTTGTACTACTATAGGTTCGGATCGGACACACGCCTCCAACGAGGACACATCGTACTAGTATATCCTTCTGCGCCTTCCACAACGCGGTCCGAGTAGATGGGGTCGGAGTATCTCGCAGCATCGCCGATGTCTCGGCGATGCGGCTCGATGTGGAGCCCCATTTTCTCCACGCAGGCGTCGCCGATGCACCGCCGACATCGCCGACGTCGCCGATGCATCGGCGAGGCGGTGCGATCCTCCGATACTCTCATGTGAGCTGGGGACACAGGTGAGTGGAAGCGAACGTGTGCCCGCGGCCGCTTGGCTCAAAGCGGCCGGCCGCCTAAATCTGACTACACCTCAGTGCGAGGTGTACCATTCGCCATCGAGACCGAAAACATCCTTCGTTTGAGAGGGCCCGTCGCTCCCGCGTCAATCTCCGACTACTGGGACTATCGCTACTACGATACAACAGAGCTGGAGCTGGGCTTCGCCTGAGGCGAAGCTGGTGGTTGGGTCTCCCAACCCCTTTCAAACTTGGTATCGGAGCTGGCCTATGGTGGTCAGCTCTTGCTCTACTCCTCACCATCCACGGCACTATCTGGTGGACTACGGACGTGGTGGAACATCAGGGTGCAGTGGGTTTGCGCGGAGGAATCTACATACAACTACGCAACAGAGCAAGGACACTTGCAGTGACACCTCTGCCTACGCATAGGCCTCTTACTCGCGTCCTACATCCCTGCGCTACTACACTCCTGAAGTCCACCCACCTACTCCACTTGGAAATTTCTTCGAAGACATAATGCATGGACACATGCGATACGACACTGTGCCGCCTCTACCCCCGCGCAGGCTTACGACCGCACACCGCAAACCCAACCAATCACATCCGACTACGACTTACGAGGCCATATGATTGGTATAGCTATCTTTGGGCTCGCATGGGTTGCTATCGGGTGTGCGGTGGGGCATATGCGTGGCGGAGACGACACAAGAACGACCAGCCCCCATGGGGACCCGTCCGGTCAAGTACCTTTCCCCGAATTCGCTCGCGAGGTGCATGCCTGGATCAACGTGACCACAGGCCACATGACGCCCTCCCAACAAACTGCAGCCGTGCAGCGAGGCTTGGGGGGCCTCGCACGGACCATAGCCATGATAATTTCCCCAGCAGTTATCATTTTCGGCTCGAACATAGGTGGCCGCCATACCCATGGCGTCACCTACATCATGTTCTTCTTAAATACGAAGTTCGAGAACCTAGAAGAGGAACGTCAACTCAACTCTGGTACAGCTCTCATTGACTTCCGAGTCCATGCGGGAGAACGGATCGGCCTGGCTCTGGCACGCTTCGAGATAGCCCGCTATGAAGTTGAAACGCTAGGCTTCAACATCCCCAACGTCCAGATTCTAACAGTCATTTTATTCAGAGCCCTTGGAGTGGGGACGTCGCGTGCACAACAATTCCTGCAACCACTAAACCGCCACATGCCGAGGGGCCAGCAACAGTTTGACTCTCTATTTGAAAGCGTGAGGTCATATGCTCACATTGCTGAGAGAACCCCTGGCTATATTTGCTGTATCATTAGTCACGGTCACCGAGCCGTGACCTTCCACGTTGAGGTAATCGCAGGGCAACCTGCTAGTAACGTCTGGAATGACGATCCGCAACCAACAGAGACCACCACACTACTGACTCAGGATGGTGGTTCGGCCTCGGGGTCGCAAGACTCCTGGGCCTGGTTTCGGGGGCCGCCCGATGCGGTGGCCCCTACGCAAGCCACAGCCCTAATGGGCTCAGTGGGGCAACCTGCTGAGTCCGATTTCGACTCTGGAGCCGACGCCGACGCGTCCTCGGACGACGCGGCTACCGCCCTAGACTACTCCGACATGTCCACGTACCTCACGGAAGAACAACAGGCGCAATGGTTATTCTTAGGATGCCAGAAGCATAAACGCAGGCGGAGGCGATTTATGAAGAAGCCAGCTCGCATGGCACGGCGCGCTATCCGACGGGCACTCAGGGGAAAGGGCAAGTGCCGGGGCAAGGGTGAATGTCAGCGGCGGCGGCTGCAAGGCAGGGGCGCGTTAGCATTTCTAGCACCCCTTACTGGGCCACAAGATATAGCTAAGTTCCTGGGTGCAGACAGGCGCCGCAGGCATGCATCGTGGAAGGGTAAGGGGCGTCGGGGTAAGCCGAAGGATGCGAGCGGTAAAACTACGGAGTGTGATATCTGCCACAGCACTCGACATTTCCGCCGTGAATGCCCTCAGGGCGATGGGAGGGGCAGAGGTCCGCCCATGCATCTGGCTCAAACTGACTCGGACATACAGTGTGTTGACTGGAAGTCATTTTTTGCCGACCCATCCGACAGCTCAGTTGCAGTTGCTAACTTCATGGCTGCCAGATATCTGAGTGCCAGCATGTCCCTGGAGAATTATGCCGACGAGCTGTTCGAGGAGATATTCGCTGGCCACAATGAGATCGGTTTGGCAGACTGTTTGGGCATGTCCATCGCGGGGCAACCTGCCGATGTTGAATTTGTCGAGATCTTCCACGTGCCCGCCGAAGGAGATGACGGAATGGCGGTGGCACCCGCGGATTCAGGAGCCGCTGTTGTTGCGACAGAGGAGGAAATGCAATTGATACTTTATCCTCTGGGTAATGGTAATCAGACAAACATGGAATTGAGTGATGGTGACCCTTTGCGGGGAAACCCGCGAGATGCTGGCGATCTGTCTGGGCGCATCCAGTGCGAGCTCGGCCGCTACGAAGGACTTCCATGCGCATTCGTAGCTTCGGGCCGCTCCATTAGCCGCCAGGGGCGATCGGCAAGCCGCCCGGCCTGGAGACGCAGGCATCGCGCCGACGACGATGACGAAGAATGGGAATGCGTCCAGCGGCGCTCGCTCTAGCGGCCTTGAGCGCCTCATCCTCCTGATGCGAGGGTGCTGAGGGCCCCTCCAAGCAAGGGCAATGTGCCTGGCGCTCCTCCGGGGGGGGGGGGGGGGGGGCGCACGGGGGCGCCCGCGTCAGAGGGAAGCGCCTCGCGAAGAGTATCCAGAACGCGAAGTGCAGCGCCTTGTTGGCCGCTCGGATGCTGGATTGGCCCGTCAGTGCATAGGCCCAGATGCAATGCGACGCTGGTTGGACAAGGGTTGGGCTGATCACCGGGCTCGTCACTGGCATTCTCTTCGAAAGGTTGATCGAAATGAAGAAGACAAGGTCATTCGCTCAAGCAGGAAAGGGGCTGTCAAAACACAAGAAGCCCTTATATAGCGTGACTTCAAGAGGACCATCATCGAGGAACGGGATTTTTCCCAACCATCCTGTGGTGTTGGGTCCTCGTTTTGAAGAGACAGCGCCCCGCGTCCACTCCTCCTCCCGCTGCCCCCTTCCTCCTCTTCATCCCTGCGTTTCACCCACCGCTTCGTGGCCCCATAGGGAGCTCCACCGAAGGCCCCACTGGCAGGGTTCGCATGGCGGCCTCGGGCCATTTCGGCACACCCCTCACAAGATCGTGGCCCCATAGGGAGCTCCACCGAAGGCTCCAGTGGCAGGGTTCGCATGGCGGCCTCGGGCCATTTCGGCACACCCCTCACGAGGATCGTGGCCCCATAGGGAGCTCCACCGAAGGCGCCAGTGGCAGGGTTCGCATGGCGGCCTCGGGCCATTTCGGCACACCCCTCACGAGGATCGTGGCCCCATAGGGAGCTCCACCGAAGGCGCCAGTGGCAGGGTTCGCATGGCGGCCTCGGGCCATTTCGGCACACCCCTCACGAGGATCGTGGCCCCATAGGGAGCACCGAATCGGCGTTGGCCGCATGGATCGGCACACCCCTCACAGGATCGTGGCCCCATAGGGAGCTCCACCGAAGGCGCCAGTGGCAGGGTTCGCATGGCGGCCTCGGGCCATTTCGGCACACCCCTCACGAGGATCGTGGCCCCATAGGGAGCTCCACCGAAGGCGCCAGTGGCAGGGTTCGCATGGCGGCCTCGGGCCATTTCGGCACACCCCTCACGAGGATCGTGGCCCCATAGGGAGCTCCACCGAAGGCGCCAGTGGCAGGGTTCGCATGGCGGCCTCGGGCCATTTCGGCACACCCCTCACGAGGATCGTGGCCCCATAGGGAGCTCCACCGAAGGCGCCAGTGGCAGGGTTCGCATGGCGGCCTCGGGCCATTTCGGCACACCCCTCACGAGGATCGTGGCCCCATAGGGAGCTCCACCGAAGGCCCCAGTGGCAGGGTTCGCATGGCGGCCTCGGGCCATTTCGGCACACCCCTCACGAGGATCGTGGCCCCATAGGGAGCTCCACCGAAGGCGCCAGTGGCAGGGTTCGCATGGCGGCCTCGGGCCATTTCGGCACACCCCTCTCGAGGATTGTGGCCCCATAGGGAGCTCCACCGAAGGCCCCCAGTGGCAGGGTTCGCATGGCGGCCTCGGGCCATTTCGGCACACCCCTCACGAGGATCGTGGCCCCATAGGGAGCTCCACCGAAGGCGCCAGTGGCAGGGTTCGCATGGCGGCCTCGGGCCATTTCGGCACACCCCTCACGA